ATACTATTAGTTTAATATAAAATAATATAACAGTTATTAAACTAGTAGTATTATATAATTAAGATATATTATATAATACTATAAGTAGTTTAACTTAAATAAGCCTTAGAGGAGGATAATGCTAATTATATAACTTAAAGAAGGCTAAAAGAGGGGTAATAAACTGCTAGAAGAGAAGATAGACATAACAAGCAACACAATCACTCAATTCGGTTAAACAAGAGACGCTGTGGTTATAGTGCATTGATACCTAGAGCTGCCTAGAAGGAAGTGTATTCTACCAAGGTTCTTTTCTTGCCCGATGACCAAAAATACATGGATGAAGAAACAGGGAATCACGGATGATGTTACTGGCTCAATGCGGGTGACGACGAGAATGTTTGATCGCCGTGGAGCTGTTTTCGGTTTTGAGAACTGGGCTTGCTGGGTTAACCAACGATAACGATGAGATAGGATCACGGTGCAAGATAAGACGGTTTCTGTTGGAGGAGCCTGTTTACGGGGTGATAAGACATTTCCCCAATGAGGATATCCCGATAACACCCGGATGTTACGGCGGCTGGACGGACGAGCCGGGAGTAAACGTTGTGATGCACTCAACTCACACTGTAAGTTACTGTATGTCGACATTGCTCTCAAATCTTGTGATTAACTGCTTTTCAGCTCTGGATCAATATTGCATTTTCTCTAACCGCTGTTACCCTCATACAAAGCACAAGGTGAATGTGCAACGCCCAAAGCAGACACTCACATAACCGTAGGGTAACACTCACCACTCATCTTCCTCTTCAGAACACCTATCATCACTCACTCATCTGACTTGACATCCATTCCCTCCAGATACTTCCTCACATCAACCATCTCAATCCCCCTCTCCTCATTAACACTCCCACTCTTATCCCACGCTACCCCACGGCCCTGCGCAAACGTATCCCTATACTTGACCATCGTGCTCGGCTCCATCTCCATCTGCCTCTTCAACTCCTCCAGATCCCACACCTCGCGCTTAAACTCGGTCCCAAAATGCTCATCTAGTAAATCTGCCAGTTCGCCGTAGGATATAGTATCACCCGCTGTGTACACAACCTGGTGCGATATACCCCGCGGATCGAGGATTATATCTGCCGTGACGCGCCCGATGTCAGTTGGTGTCGTGAGTGTGATTCTGTTATCCCAGCTCCCCAATGCTCTGACGATCTTATTCCCGATATCAACGACCCCAAAGTCTGGGAGGAACAGAAAGCTCATGAACAGTCCAGTCGACACAATTGTCCAATCAACATCCCTCTGCGCTCTTAATTTCTTCCGGACTTGTAACTGCTCGTCAAACAGGTCCTGTGAACTTCCCTCCCCGATAGTATCATAGTCCATCCCAAACTGCCAGGGAAAGTATCTCTTAACGCCCGCTTTAAGCACAGCGTCTGAGAGCTTGAGCTGCGTTCCAGACGGTAAGCCCATGCCATTACACGAAACAACAACATCGTATTTCTCAAAGATGGACGCTAGTTCTTCAACGCTCGCGTTGACGACATCAGCTGCTTCAAAACCAGCGTTGAGGGCACGAATGCGCTGTACTAGTTTCTTCTTCTCAGGAGCAGCAGAGTCAAGCGTTGCTTGACGCAGAAGAACGGAATAGCGTTGACGCTTGGGGTGTGAGGTCAGAGCCTCAAGGACAGAGAGGCCTAGTTCCCCAGCGCCGAGGATGAGGATGTTTTGCGGCGTCATAGGTACTGGTATGGAAGGATCGTTGAGACGATTGAGGGCTTGCAAGTTCTCGATGGAGAGTTCAAGAGGCGCATCGGGCGTCATATTTAGAGGAAGTAACGGTATTTTAGGCTATAGTTTAATTCTGCGATGCATGATGATTACGTCGTGAATGCTACATTTCGAAGGGACGAGAATGAGGCTGGATCTGCATCTTGGCGGAGCCTTAACGCGGGGTGAACGAATAGCCTTGGCGTAGGGTGTAAGCAATGCTCTATCTCCATATGCAAACTCCGAGACCATGAAGTTATTCCAGATTTTATTATTGTATTTGTAAGAACAATAAACTCACATCGTCAGTAAATGCCAAGGTCCTTGTTGGTCCATGATCCACACCACTCATTCAATATCCGGCAGCTGAATAATCGAATTCCATCGTCAAGCCATATTTTCGGAGCCAGGGGCAAACATGACAAATGCGGAATTCTAGGGGAGTTTGTTTCATTCTTTAATATGCAAATCCAATACGAAAAAGGCCTGGTTGACTTTTTATTAAACTTTGAGCTATATGGTAGTAAATGCAGGCACCGATTTACCCAACAAGAACGCCCACGCTTCCCAAAAAACAATGATGATTTCACAACTCTATGAAAATGATAGTAGTCTAGCTAAAGTAGTGAATGAGGGTCACGAAAGAACAGTGCTTCAAGATGAAATGGCCTTATGACGTGACTGTGAGTTTGTTGGCGAATCCAACACGTTGACCCTTGAGGTCGAAGACGACAAACTGCGCCTTGAGGAGGATGTCGCCCAGAATGGCGAATCCAATACCGTCGGAGCTCTGAATACCACCGTAGCAGACGGTAGTGGTGAGACGGCCGTAGTTGATGTAGTTTCCGGGGACTTTGCCGCGGTAGCTGCCGAAGCCAAAGTAGAAGCTAGGAAGCTTCGCTGAGCAGGGAAACACCCAAACACCATAGTCTTGGTCGACGTAAGCGCCCTTGACCTTCTTGTAGTAGAAGTTGACAAGGTAGCTGGGCAGAAGAAGGAGGGTGGTGCCAGTATCGACGATGGCTGAGTAATTGTACTTGTGCCACGGTGCACCCTGAGCGACGCGGAAACCCTCAATGTTGAGCTGCCACCAGGGACTGTTCTTCGTGACCTTGGCGAACTGAATGCTTCCGTAATACTCACCCTGGTCGATGTATCCAAAGTTGTAGTTTCCAGCCTTGCCCTTCTGCAGATTGGCGGTAAAGACTGGGACTGCTAGAGCGTCCTGCACGTTCTGGAAGTAGGTTTTTTGAGGCGTAGGTCGGACAGTGTTTAAGCTTGACATGGCGAGACCCATGATGCCGTGCGAGAACTTGTCTGCAGCGATACCATCCGAGACTTCAGTAGCAGACTCAACGGCCTGCTTGTTGACATAGGTCTTTCCGACTTGGACCTTGTCGGTGTAGACGATGCCACTGGCACCAGTGCCATCACCGTACTTAATACTCCAAGTCTGACCATTTAGTCGCTTGGAAGTTGATGACTTGTCTGGCTTGTAGAGAATATGACCGGCTTGGTCAGGTTGATATGTGTCTGTAGAAAACACCCAGCTACGACAGTTAGCAACGAACCTTCTTAACCAAAGACAGACAACTTACAGATCAGATGAGCCAGTATCAAAGTTCAGGTATGTTTGTTGAGCTGGAGTACCAATCTTGACAGGAACTACATACTGTGAATCGTAGTACTGGGGTGGTGTTGCAGAAGCAGTACCCTTCATTCCTAGCACAAGTGTTAGTCGTGTTCATTAACCCGTGTGACGAGACTAACCAAGCTTGTTGTTGACGAGGGCAGCCTCATTTTGAGCAATCTTCTTGAGCTTTTCGGGTAAAGGCTTGTTGTATTTGTTGTATGCCTGAATAAGGGCAATCTCGGCATGAGGCTTCTTGTAGTTTGTGTTGGTGAGTTGGTCCATCTTGACCTTTTCCCCGCCAGCTCGAGGCTTGAGGTGAGCCGAGTCGGGGTCATTCTCATGATCGATAGCTCGACCTCGTAGCGACTTGCCAAGTTCCGCCTCTTCTTGTTCCTCGGGATCAATGCCCCGCTTTTGAAGGCCTTTAACTCCTTCAACCTCTGGATCAACAGCATTGGGTGAAAAGGGATTCTTGACCTCATAGACATCTCCACGCGCCTTTAAAGGGTCATTGTCGGTTACACCCCTGGGTTTTATATCCCGGTCTTGTAGACCCTTCACACCTTCAACCCCAGGGTCAACAGCATTAGGCGAGAAGGGATTCTTAACCTCGTAGACATCGCCACGGATTTCATGAGGAATACCCGTACTACAGCCGGCGAGGAGGAGAAAGGAAACCGTGCTGAATTTCATCGTGAATGATGGGGTAGGTGAGAGATAGTAGTGATCGTGAGATGGGGATGTATCAGGAGGATGGGGGGCCGGACCTCATATTTCAAGACAATGGGAGCAGCGAACCATCCCATTGTGAGAGGCGGGCTGAGTGTGCCGGATCGAGGGCAAACGCTATTTTCCAGGCACTTCGAGATCCATAGCATGGCATTCTGGGCAAGCCTGGAGCTAAGTGAAGCCATGCTGGAGAGCTTAATGTGGAATGTGGGAATGTGGCCCGTGAAGAGGGTGGTTCTGGGTGGAATGTATCTGGATCGAGTATGGTATGGCCTGGCATCTGCATTCCGGGGCCTTGGGACTAGACATTTTAGACCCTAGAATGAATGCCACGAGTACGGGAGAGCAGCCATGACCGAGACATGACCCAAAATGTCCGCTCTTGGTTCTTGGTTCCTGGTTCCTGCGTCTGATTTGTCTGTGTTTGTCGTAAAGGGGTCCCCATCTTGACGTTGAAGGCGTGCGCCACAAATGACTGTTGTCAGGGTCTTGTGTGTGCGTGTCTATCGGCCAAGTGTCGGTTTATTTTAACATTGACAAAAACGATTGCTTTGAGACTTTTTTGGTGCGACGATCGTCGGACCAGGTGAACAAGTTGGGAAGGGTATGATGAGAGAACCCTTGATGATCATCAGTGACAGATCATTAGATCTACAACAATGTCGTTGTTTCTGTCTTGGTCGATTCGATTTAGGTCATGCCCAGTGCTGTTCCTGCATTTTTCGTACATCTGTCGTAGATGGCGTCTAGGTCATACTATGGCAGCAACATCTTGTGGTCCATCCTCGTTCATCATCTTCCAAATCATAGACCGACAACTCTTAAACGGAAATCTCTCATCCGGGCCGTATCCCAGTTTGTCGGTTCCGTGGTGCCGTAAATAACGTCATCTTAGTGTCTACTAGAGATGGTTATGGCTTGAGCTGTCGGAGAGCGGGAATGCACTGACTCGATATGGCGATGTTAGCGGTGGTGTTGAGGTTTGAAACGATGCTCAAGCCGTCTCTTGCGATTCTGGGGGAAATGCTCCGAAGAAAGTAAAGTGGCAGTCATTGGTCAATGCTCAACAAAGGCTCGGTCCCTTCCGCTTTGAGGCTCTTGACTTTTCAGTAGACTAAGAGGTCCAATCAAGTCTCTCATTCAAGTTTTTTCGTTGAATTACTGTAAACAGATGCGTCGTCACGTTCTAATTTTACATTCAACAGTCATGTCTGTGCTTTTCTGCTTTAGGCCTAATGATACTAATGCAATGATGATTGCAGTCATTTACTCTGGTAGTCATCGTGCTTCTCTTTTCGTATTTTATTAGACTGATGACAAAGGCAGTGGAGGTTCAATGTGAAGTCATCATCGATGGCTCATCTCATGACTCGTCCACTGAAAATTACCCCTCCATGACTCACTAAATACAGTGGCATCTCCACTGACAGTTCCCTCGAAGAAGAAAACATCAGGCAGAAGGGAAATTGAGACTATTCAGACCATCAGTATGAGTAAAAATGATTAATCTGCCTGGACAGAAATTGAGAAAAATTAGACAAAATTCGATATAAATAATTCAATCACAGTTCTCAATCCGCCAAGAATCGTCTTACAACGTTAGAGTGAACCCTGGTAGACACATCCACTGATAAGATAACGTTTTTTTTGAACCCCGCGGTAACAAACAAGGTTGCACAAAAATTCCACAACGCCTTCATCGAATTTGTTTTCGCCAACATAACCGACATATTTTGCAATCTCGCTAATTCCCATTGCAAATTATTCACCATGGATCCCGCGCCAGGACCTGCTGCTCCTCACGAGCCTCCCTACCAATACACAGCCAACCAGGGCTACGAACAGACAGAAGAAATACCCCGCGAACTCCAGACCCAGAAAGACGACGGTGCTGCTCTTGTCGAGCAAGAAGACGATAATGACTTTGACGATATCTTCGAGGAGGATTTCGACGATAATGAGTGGTCCGCTGATGCGGGCGACTTGACCAAATCTTATAACCGACAGCGCAATGCCGACGGCGCCGCTGCTCGCTCGAATCAGCAGAAACCTACTGCGAATACCTTTGCCAGCGTCGACGATCAAGTATCCGCCCTATCAAAACACGCCGCCAAGCTTCGTCTCGACACTGTCAAGCAAGATGTCGAGAAGGACAAGGACAAGGCCGACCGCGCCACAAGCGAACAAGTCCTCGACCAGCGCACCCGCATGATTCTCCTGCAGATGATCAACCGTGGCTTCGTTAGCGAGGTCCACGGTGCTATCAGCACCGGTAAAGAAGCCAACGTCTACGGCGCCGTCCTCCACGATGATCAAACCGGCGAGGCTACCCAGAGGGCTATCAAGGTCTACAAGACAGCCATCCTCAGCTTCAAGGACAGAGAGCGTTACATCACCGGTGAGCACCGTTTCAAGGGTGGCTTCGACAAGGGAAACAACAGGAAGATGGTTAAACTCTGGGCGGAGAAGGAGTTCCGTAACTTGCGAAGGATCTACACGGCTGGTATTCCCTGCCCGGAGCCCATCAGCCTCAAGCTTCACGTCCTCGTCATGGGCTTCCTCGGCGACCGCAAGGGCTGGGCGTATCCTCGCCTCCGTGACGCTACTCTGACGGGCGACGATGTCGATCAGCAGTGGTATAAGCTTTATGTCCAGCTGCTTGGCATCATGCGCCGAATCTATCAGGTCTGCCGTCTTGTGCACGCCGATCTGAGCGAGTACAACATTCTATACCACAAGGAGAAGCTGTACATCATTGATGTGTCGCAGAGTGTGGAGCCTGATCATCCTCGCTCTCTTGAGTTCCTGCGTATGGATATCAAGAACGTGGGTGACTTTTTTAGACGCAAGGGCGTTGATACGCTTGCTGACCGCGCCATCTTCAACTTCATCACTACCCCTGAGGGTCCTGTAGAAGAGCCAGAAATGGCCAAGGCGATCGAGACTCTGTACGAGACTCGCGCTGATACGAGTGAAGACCAAGCTGCTCAGATTGAGGTTGACAACGAGGTGTTCAGAAATCAGTACATTCCTCAGACATTAGAACAAGTCTACGATATTGAGAAGGATGCTCAGAAGGTGACACAAGGTGAAGGTAACGACCTTGTCTACAGTAATCTACTGGCAGACCAGGTCATCGCTCCCAAGAAGGACAGTGAAGATGGCGAAGAGGAGCAAGGTTCTACATCCGACTCTGACGACGAAGGCGCATCTCTCTCAGGTGACTCCAACGACGAGGCCAACTTCGAAAAGGGTCCTCCCCGCGGCCGTCGCTTCGAGGACAAGGATGAGAAGAAGGTTTGTATCCCAACACCCATTCTCCTCGAAGGAACTTAACTGACCAATAACTTCCCTAGGCCCATAAACAAGCCGTCAAGGAAGCTAAGCGCGAGAAGCGCAAGGAGAAGATGCCCAAGCACCTAAAGAAGAAGATCGTCGCCACATCATCCCGTCGCAAGAAATAGACATAAACACCTTCACTCTTGGCGATTCCTTATTCGCTTTCCTCCCCCCGTTCCGGGCAAGGGACCGTTGTGTCGAGACGCAGGGTCAGGTCCCCCCTTTGCCCGAAGGAGGAATAACACGAAAAGCTTATATCAAACCCCCCCTTCCCTCCCTTAGGCAAACTGCAATCGAATGATGAAGACATTGATTCGTCGCCCGGAGATGTCACCGCCGAGACGGTTTAGCAATTCCCCCCTGGGAGTCTGTGTAACCTCCGGTTCTTTTGGCTCCCGCGGCGATCTGAACGTTCCCTGCCTTTGCGTGGGGTCCCGTTTTGAACGATCAAAGAGAGCTCTGACGATTTGTATTTTTTTTTTTGCCTCCCCTTCCCTTCCCGTGACGGAACGGTATGGAAAAGGGTTCTCAGCTCCGGATGAGGCTTGGCTGACCTCGGTTTTTGGGGGGTTTAAGCACACCGGAAAAAAGAGTAACGACTTGAATATTATGTATGAAAGCCCTAGTTTTATCGCTCAGTTGTGTTTTTTACAACTCAAATAGTAAAAAAGTCAAAACGTTGGCCCTCCCCTTTTGACGCCATTACATGATAACGTACAATCTCAATCTAATCAAAATATCTCAAATTTCTTCCTCCTGTCAGGCTCGTCAGCCGGCAGATGATACCGTAACAGGACTGGTCATGTTCAAAAGTAGAACTGCTGCTGAGGTTGGCCGGGCGGTGGCTGGGCTAGGAAGTCAAAGTTCAACGAGTCCATTCCCGTGTTCCACGGGTCCGGCGATTCTGTGGCAAGTTAGTTTTTGAGCCTGCCAAGAGAAATATGACAGATAGGAAATGACATACCACCCCAGATAGATTCGTAGAGGTCCATGGGAGCCATGTATTGCGTAGGATCGACGTTCATGGCGTTCATGCTGTCCAGATTCAGGTTGCCGTTTGGCATCTGCTGACCGTACGCAAGACTAGACACACACTTAGAAACGTTCACACCAAATTGGGGAGAATAGGATACTGACCCTGGAAAGTCTTGGATCGAAGCTCCTCCGTTTTGCATCTCAGCCATAGCAAGCGCTGCGTCCTCCCTGGGGTCCGCGCTCTGGGAAATGTTGCGAAACATTGAATTGCCATTTCCGGGAAGTTGGCCTGGGTTTCCAAAGGGGTTAAGCGGCGTCCGGCTCCCGCTGCCGGCGGCAGAGGCGTCGCCCTCTTTCTTGAGATGTGACGGGACTATAGAGCCATGGTCGTAAATGTTCTTGAGGGCCGTGAGGGCGCGGTACAGTGGGCCCGAGAGCTCAATGTCCTTGTCGGTGGTCATGACATGCGGCTCGGGGGAGCTAACGTCCTTGGCAGCAGTGGCAGAGAGGGCGGCGATGAGATCCCCCTGTAACTGCCGAACCTCTGGATCCGTCTTTGTCTCACATAGTATGCCGAGGAGCAGCGCTGATGATAGGCCGTGGTACGTAAAGGCCCAGCTGCGCGTTGGGATGGAGGAGAGCTGGTGCAT